CCCACATCGGGCTCCCTGCTCCGCGGGAAGCCTGCTTCTCCCTCTCCCACTCCCCCTGCTTGTGTTCCTTCTCTCGCTGTGTCTCTGTCAAATGAATAAAATCTTTAAAAAAAAATAAAAATAAAAAATTGCATTTCTGGCTGCAGATTCCCCGGGCTTTCCCAGTGGTAGGAAAGACCAAGCTGATTTAGAAGGTTTCAGGACCAAAATGTATAAGAGGTCTTGAAATAAGGAAGAGTTGAACAGTTAGAATTTGTGGAGTAGCAACCATCCCTTCTCTCTCCTGTTCACACAGGGGAGGAAGATTTGACATTAGCACTTCACTCCCTTTTCTACTAGACTGAGGGTGCCATATATCCTGTTTCCACTAAGTTAGGAAATATTGATTATCTCTTTTCTGATGTTTGCTAAGCTACAGAGCCTTCTAGTACTTCATTTACCTGAGAGAAGGAGAAAGAAGCATGATAAAAAGAGGGAAGCAAAAGAGAGTGAGTGGCTGGTGAATAGCTTACATCCCTACCACTTAGTTTAAGAATACATGAGTTTCCAGGGTACTTGGGTGGCTCACTCAGTTGAGTGGCTGACTTCGGCCCAGGTCATCTCAGGGTCCTGGGATGAAGCCCTATGTTAGCATCAGGCTCCCCGCTCAGCAGGGAGTCTGCTGTCCCTCTCCCTCTGTCCCTCTTCCCACTCACTCATGCATGTGCATAAGCGCTCTTTCTCAAATAAATAAAAATCTTAAAAAGATGCACAAGTTTCCTGTAAGTTGAATTGACACCATGGAAAGTGGCAGGACTGAAGCTACTTGCTAATACTCCCCACAACACACACCCATGAGTGGAGTAATTAAGCCCAGTCACGTTCCACAATTAAACTCATGTGTCTTTGCCATCCCTGGTGGTGGGGATCCAATGGTAAAATGCTGTGGACTAAACTGACTTGGGAGTTAAGCAGGTAGGGAGAGAAAGAGGTAAGAATCTCTGAATCCAGGGGACTATGATAGGAGCCCCTAGAGAACCCTCAAGGAATAACCATGACCAAATGTGCTAGAGAAGAACCAGCATTTGGACATCGGTCTCATGAATGAAACTAACAAATGTCAACACAAGGAAAGCAAAATGTAAGGAGACTTTGGTTGTATGTTTTCTCTCTCTGGGTGTTGTTGGAATATACTTTTAGCTGCCAAATAATGACAATGCTGGATCACATATGTATGGGCAGTTTTCACTTTTCTCTCAAGTTTTGTTCACAACTGATTATGATAAAGCTAGTGTTGCTGTTAACATCTCACATCTAAGAAGTATGACTGGGAAATGACAAATTAATAAAACACAAAAAAGGAAATGTGAGTCTAAAAGAAAATAGATTGAAAGGGGCCATCAGAATCCAATCATTTAGAAAAAACAGTAAGAACTAAATTTATTTGATAGCAATATATTTAAAAAAAGTAAAGGGGTTTAGATACCCAAGATACCAAAAGGAAAGAAGGTCAAGGGAAAAAGGCAGTCATAGACCCTGTTGTTTTGAAGACAGGAGACCAACAAGTAAATCCTTTATTTGAGAAAGGCAAAGAACTCGGGCTTTGATCAGAAATTCAGCCTAAAAGGGACTTTTCTACTTTTTCAAATGGCCCTATTATAACTGTCTCATATAATAAAGATCTAGCCTCTGTAACTGTATAGTTCACCTTGCCCTTGGACCATCAAACAAGCTGATCTACAAGAAAGACCAGAGACAAAAGCCAGAAAAACAGACATTGTTGACTCAGAAGATAGCTGCTAGCCAATGGGGTTCCTCCTAACCTTCAAGTACATGTTAATACTGCTACTACCTAAGTGGAGAACAAGAACATTCAGTAAATGGTGACTGCACACAACAGGAGTCCCGCTGGTCTATTTTTTCTTCTTGTCCATCTTGTCCATAAAATCAGGGTTTTCCTACTAAACAATCAAGGCAAAGGTTAGAACAAGTCATTTCATCTAGTCCACAAAAAGACCTGCACCAGCTTCACCTTCACACAGCTTATCTGGAAAGACAATGGTGCACCGAGTGCACTGGCAGAAGTCATCAGAACTGATTACAGTGGTAACTGTGATGAGATCTGACATCACTGGGAGGCAAACTGGGAAAGAAGCAGGCCCATGAGCTTGCCACAGAACTAGTTTTAAATGTACTCTGTTAACTTCTCTGTCAATAAAAATAGAACATCCCCTTAAAACAAAGAGAAAAGCTATTGAGGCATTAGATCCAGGGGATAAAAGCTAGGATATAACATCCTATCCTACCCCAAAAGTGATGAAATAAAATCACAAGAACAAGAACCTGTGGAAGATTTGAGACCTTACTAAAAATTAATGTTGTTTAATTAGAAAATGTTGGGAAATCTACTTTATGTTTTCACCAGCAGTCAGGAAACAGCAATAAGCTTCTCATGAGGAAGTACTGATTCTAACAGGAGTCAACTCTTTAGACCATGTGGAACCTCTGACTTTTGTCAGCATCATAAATCATTAAGAAAACCTTCTATAGACATTGTGGATGTTAGTGGATTATCACTGGTGTTATAAAAGAACCTTGTAGTGTTAGGATGATTTTAGCAGCAAATATATGTGTATTATCAGATCCTCGAACCAACTCAAACTGGCTTTAAAAACAAAGAAATTTACAATGTCACATGAGGAATTGGGACACAAGATACTTCAAAGATTGGCTACTTTAGGGGCTCAACAATGTCTGAAGCATCCCTATTCTTTCTTTTTGGGTGATGCCACCCTCAGCACATTATTTTTTGTCCCTATAATTATCCTCATGATTCTGTCTGGAGGGTTTATCCCCTTCATCTAACAACAGGTAGAAATTAGCCATCCTTTATTACGAGAAATGGTTTAAGTGACCTTCTCATGTAGCTTTGCCCCACACTGTTAGGCAGTTAGAAAGCAATCAGGCAAAAAAGGTAGCCTCAGACATGATGTGTACAGAGTTAGTTTATTACAAGTAATCAAAATTGATAAAACTGGAAAAGCAAACAAATACTCTCTTTCAACAAAAATTAAATATGGATGCCGAAAATAACTACAATAACAGTGCCCAATAGTTAAACTCTCTCTTCAAATCTTAACACTAGAGGTATACATCCTTTATCCTGGTAACGTTATTGAGTATTCTATTTTTCCTAAAACCATATTACATTAATCACAATTTGCTTAAATTATTCTGATACTACATTTAAAACAATCATCTCTTAAATATTTAAATACCATTAGAGTGCAATTTCGATCATTCAGAGAGATTTCCATTTCAACTCAATGAAAAACATCCATATATTTACATATTTTACTCTTTTCTGAGTGGGTCACCTCCAGACCTCTTGGAATAGTTCACCCTTTTCTACGAAAGTGTATGCGATTCATAAGTTCTCTGAACTTCAGTATTAAGGAGTAGTTATTTATGTTGTCTTTCCATGTTTCGTAAGTCCTTCTAAATTTGTCATAATAACTTTCTTTTTTCAAATTGAAATCTGATCCAATGTTTTTAAAATAACTGTCTTTTTTCCATATTTCTCTCCAGGAGCCTTTGAATTTTTCCAAATAACTTTTTTCAGATTCTTCCTTCCATATTCCTTCTCTCTTTTTTAAGGCTGTTAATTCGGCTTTAAGTAAGTTTCTGTGAATTGTCCAATAGATTTTAGAATCATAATCTAGCCCTTTAACAAGAACAGTTTTGCCAAGGCCTCTTCTCAAAATTTCTTCATTCAGACTCACACTAAAATATCTACCCTTGAATAAAAAATAACACAAACCAATTACTACAGAAAATTGCACTATACCTGCAACATCTTCTTCACTTTAAAATTTACTTATTTACTTAAATTAAATCATCATTCAGAGGGGTGCCTGGGTGGCTCAGTGTGGGTTAAGTGCCCAACTCTTGATTTTGGCTCAGGTCATGATCTCAGGGTCGTGATACTGAGCCCTGCGGTGGGCTCTGTGCTCAGTGCACAGTCCGTGCAAGATTCTCTCTCTCTCCCTCATCCTCTGCCCCTCCCTTTCCTCCACGCATTCTCTCTTTCTAAAATAGATGAATAAAATCCTTAAAAAAAAAAAAATCAGTCATTCAGCAACTTATCCTTCAGAGAAAAGCCAAAAAACATAATGCAAAGGGATCTCCAAGATCTTAAAACAGCTAATGCTAAATCCAAGAATTTCATTTACTAGAAGAGATCCTTGTTCGAAGTCAATTGCCTCTTTCATTTTTTTTTAAGATTTTATTTATTTGAGAGAGAGAGCACGAGCAGGGGGAGGGGCAGAGAGAGAAGCAGACTCCCTGCTGAGCAGGGAGCCTAAAGCCAGGCTCATTCACAGGACCCTGAGATCACGACCTGAGCAGAAGGCAGTCACTTAACCGACTGAACCAACCACCCAGGCACCTCTTAATTGCTTCTTTTGTAACATATCGTTTCTCCACAGACTCACTGGTCTTCTAACCCAAAAAGATGTAGAAGTAATAAAGTATAAAAAGTGTTTTTGGTTTGTTTGCTGTTTGGAGGGGGAAAGGAGCACACAGGATAGGCAAAACAACAGAAGGCCATAGCAAAAGAAACTAAAAAGTATACAAATGCAGATTGAACTGAATCATCACTGAACCGTTAGATTAGGCTTCAGAATTCCAGCATGTAAGAAGGTGCTGGCATGTAAATACATTTTTAAAAGACTTCCCACAAAATAATTAACATTAAAAATAGTCCTGGACCTTGAATCTTCATTCTTCAGGAAATTTCCTTCAAGGAAAACCTCACTTCCTAATCAAACTGGGTAAGTGGGATTTTTTTCCTACTAATTTATAGCTCAGTCAGCAGACCTGAGACTCTTGATCTTGGAGTTGTGGGTCTGAGCCCCATGTTGGGTGTAGAGATTACTTAAAATTTTTTTTTAAATCTTAAAAAAAATAAAAAAAGGAGATCCTGCTTAGCTGTTTATACAGTCTTTGTGGGATTTTAACCTAACAAGATTAATTTTAACAACATATTGATAATTTAATAGCTTTGTTAGTCAAGTACTTCACAGTTAAATTTTAAAAATGTGAAAACTCCAGATTTCAAGTAGGAGACATTTTTTAGGACGTTCTGAAGGAACAAAGTAACTTTTCCCTTAAATGCAGTAACTTTTGGTTATAATGATGAGTTAATAAATAGTCTTAAAAGATTTATCATATTTTTCTCAATCTTTTAAATTTTAAGAGCTCATTCCCTTAAACCAAAATCAGAATAACTAAAATTCAATCTCACACATTAGTACAATTCAACAGATGTAAATTACCACAGTATGCATATACTGCATAGTTTGGTCACCCAGGAAGCAATATAAGCTAAAGTATATAAGGTGAAGTATGAGCTCAGGAGCCAGAAAGAGCTGGGTTGAATACAGGCTCTTCCATTTGGTTACCTTGAGTCCCATCTGTAAATGGGAGTAAAAACAATGACCCCCTAGGGTGGTTTTGAAGATAAATAAAATACACTTCTCAACTTAAAAGAGAAGATAATGTTTTTTTTTATTTTTATTTTTTATTATTTATAATTTATTTTATTTATTTATTTTTAAAGATTTTATTTAGTGGGCGCCTGGGTGGCTCAGTTGGTTAAGCGTCTGCCTGAGGCTCAGGTCATGATCCCAGGGTCCTGGGATGAGCTCCCTGTCAGGCTCCCAGCTCAGTGGGGAGCCTGCTTCTCCCTCTGTCCCTCCCCCTCCCCCTGCTCAAATCTTCTTTATTTGAGAGAGAGAGCACTCATACACAGGGGCCAGCAGGCGGAGGGACAGAGGGAGAAGGAAAGACTCTCAAGCAGACTCCCCGCTGAGTGTAGAGCCCAATGCCTGGCTTGATCTCATGACCCTGAGATCATGACCTGAGCAGAAATCAGTAGTCGGACACTTAACCTACTGAGCTACCCAGGCACCCAAATTTTTTTATTTTTAAGTATCTCTACACCCAATGTGGGGCTCTAATTCATGACCCCAAGATCAAGAGTCACATGCTCCACTGACTGAGCCAGCCAGGTGCTCAGGGAAGCTATTTTTATAAGGCCTTTGGCATCTTTATTTTGTATTACCAGCTTACTTTTCACTGTAAGACACTTCAACCAATCAGTGTTGGATAATTCTTATTTTGAAAGCACTGAATATGATCTGGACATACAGCAATTAGTGGGTTTCATCAGGCTTTCTATTGATAGTTCAAAAAGCTCTGAAGAATTAAAATGGTTACAATTTTAATCACTTTAATGTGAGGTTATTTTTTTCTTCAGGTTAATTTTGTGTGACAAAGGACTTTAGGAATAAGAAAACTGTTCTTAATCCTGTCATAACACTTTACCTACTTAGTTTTCTACATTCTTTTTTCAGTAATCGTCCACCAAAAGCAGTAGGAAGTAAGGCTCACGCAAGGGCTCAGGACAGAGACACGGCAACACTGATGAAGCCCCATGGCATCCCCAGTTACACAATGGCCATGGTCAATCATAATGGTAGGAAAAGTGAGGCAAAAGCTTCAGATGACTGATTACTGATCGTAAACAGGATTTAAAAATGCTCGACTTTAGAGTTCAGAGACTGCGCACTATTTACTTCAGAAAACACCTTGCTCTTTGTAGTTTCCAGTTGACAGGGCTCACTCAACAAGCAGTTTCTAATAACAAAGGTGATACACTATACTCATGTGTAAATAAATGTGTAAAGATAATCCTTAAGTGAGCAATGTCCAAAGTCATTAGTAATTTTAAGTTTCTTACATTTTCTTAATTTTTCATTTTTTCTATAATAAACATATAAATAAAATTTAATAACAAAATGTACATATGAAACACCTGGTTCTCTATACATGATCACTATGAGTAGCAGTTAAGAAAGACAAAAATTTAGTCACATTGCAGATTCAAGGTTCTAATTAATGATGTTTGTGTATAAATAAAAAGAAAAAAATATTGCTCATTATTTCTTCACTCTACTTACCTTATTCACTAGAAGATAGCAAAAGAGTACTGAATTCTCCTTTCCAAGAAGTTGAAACCATAGCAGTTGGGAAGGTTTTAACTCTTTTTGTAACCACACCTTCCCGGTTTCAGTGAGTTCTACTCCTGCCAGCTTAACCAGCAAAACACCACATGGCTCTTCTAAAAACGTTAGGTAGAAAATTGCCTAGCTTTACTACCATGTTGCAAAAGCAAATTTCAAAGTCACATGTCCCCCGTCCCAAACAACTGAATATATTGTTTCTTTACAAACACCGAGACTCTCTAGATGTAGGTCCATTTATATCTGTATTCAAGTTTTCTTTTAAAGCAACCCAAGCATTTAACAGATGGAATAATGTAAAAAACCCATTTCAGTAAGCTCCAGAACAGGATGGAGAAGCCATTAATAATAATATGCATATATGGCAATTTACAGTGCTGTGTCACTGCATGACCTCTGGAAGCAGGTTCCTATTGAACAGCATCCCCAGAGTTGTGTAGTGTACAGCCTGGACAAACCCAGGTAGCGACTTTGCTGCCTGAGCCCTGAAGAGTCATCACTATTTCAGAGAGAAGAGATTTAAATTATGACAACATAATTACAACAACCGAGAAGGTAGAGGGTTTATGAAGTCTAAATCCTGCTTAGATTGCAATGGCCAGCAAATAAACATCCTAGGTAACCTCTCTTTAGGCAACAATAGTCATTCAAATTGTTTAAGTTCTGTTTGATTTGTTAAAAGAATCAATCATGTCAGGTATGTCTGGGGAAAAAAAAAATCAATCTTATTCCTTCACAGTCATATCTTGTTGGACAGAGTGATATTCATTCATTTGAGGGTAAAAAATAAGAACCCCTTTCTTTATAAAATTAAAACAATATTAAGAAGATCTTTAAATATAACTAAATTTACTCAACAAGTTTTACCAAGTTTTTATTGGCTAACAATTATTTCCCTAGGGACTGTGAATAATGAGATAGGTAGGAAAAGGTCCCTGCCCACCAGAGGCTCAGGTTAGTGGGAGGATACAAGCCTAACACATGATTATAGGAAAATGTGTTTAAGTACTGTAACCGCAGTGTGTATAACTTGGTGTGGTTGTAGTAAAGAAAGAGGCTAATTCTGCTTGGGAGTTAAGGAAAGCTTCACAGAAGAGCTGACATTTGAGCTGGATACTAAAGAATTGGGAGTTCAACAGGAGCAAGGCACTCTGCGGAATTGTGTTCCAGGGCATGAGAACCCGAGTAAACAGCAGGCCGGAAGGTCTGTGTGGGTGGGTCTTTGACACAAAGCAGGGAGACATGGGAATAGCAGCGGGAAACATCCAGCCCTTGCTCAGCTCTCCAGTCTCCTTCGGGGTCTCTTGCCCCCTTCTTCCCCACACTACAGCACTCTACCAGTCTTCATACGGCTTATCAAAGGAGCCAAGTTCATTCCCACCCACCCTCTGCCTAGCTAGCCCCATCTCATTCTTCAAGTCTCTGATTAAATTAACAACTCATCAATGAGGCTTTCTCTGATCACTTTAGAGCTGTAGGTTCCCGGTTCCCATGACTCCAATAAGGCTCGAACTAGCACTTTGCTCCTTTTCTTCATAGTTCTTAGGACAACCTTCATTTGTCTGTTGTCTATTTCCCACTTAGACTGTAAGCTCCAAAGGGCAGTCCTGTCTGTTTCCCTCAGCACCATACAGCTACTATAGGGCCTAGAATGGAACAGTTGCTCAGTATCTGTGGAAAGAATGCATGAACGCCTGAATGAAATACTGAATGGTTGAATAAAAGGAGGAAGGGGGGAAAAAGGGAAGTCTGGAGCCAAATTAAATAGTTCCTGGTATTTAAAGCCAAGAGTTTGTACTTTTCTCACAAAGTTATTAAAACTTAAAATGACATTTTTTGCTATTTTACAAATAACTTCTAATTAACAAAAACTAAAATATTTGTATTAGTCTTGCACTTTACTTACTTTTCCATGAAGATATAATAGGTAAAGAGATAGGAATATGCTCAATTTCTAAACCGTTCTCAGTTATTCGGCGTAATCGTCCACGTAGTTTAACATTCTTTCGTATAAATTCTACTGGAATATCTGAAGAACTTGTAAATTTTGATGTCTGTTGATTTATAAAAAAATATATATAACATTTAATTATTTTCATTTTAAAATTAAGTATGTCAAATTGTCATCTAAACATTTAACAA